GGGGGGGTCATGGGGGGCTCTGTAATTAACAAGGTTTGAAGCCCTTCTGTTTCTCCTGGGGGGGTCATGGGGGGGCTCTGTAAACAACAAGGTTTGAGGTTCCTCTGTCTAGGGGGCGCAGGGGAGGGGAGGGGGGGCCAGCCTGCATTTATCACTTCTCCCTCCTCACCTTTGCCAGGTGTGGGAAACCCGCGATGTCACCAGTGTGTTACAGGGCAGAACGTGAGCGATGCCTCTCTGCGCGAGAGCCACGCCTTTCTGGACATCCTGGAACCCTTCATCCAGTACCTGTGTACGGAGAACTGGTCCCAGCAGAAGGGGCTGCTGAAGCACGAGGTGGTCCAGAGGTTCCTGCACCTTCTGTCCACTATCCAGGGTGAGAGCCGGCCAGGGGCCCCTTGGAGCCTCGGGCCATCCTCCCATAGATTTGGTACCTGGGGTAGCATGCAGGAACCTCTCTCTCCCCATCCCCCCGTGCCCTCCCCTGCCTCCCAAGTTTCATGAGAGGAAGAGGAAAGAAATCTGGGAGGTTCCAGAGGGTCTCCTTGGAGACAGAAATAGGCCCGGAGCGCAGGTGGGTGGAAGGGAGTGCCCTGGAACGTGACCTTGTGGCGGGAAGGGGGCCTGGCTGAGCCCCCAGGGGAGCGAGGTCAGGGCCACGGTGGGGCCAGGGGGGCCCCACCTCTGTGATAAGACTCCCTGGGTGGGACAGACCCCCCCCCCCGATTCGGGGCTAGACCTCAGCTGCTGCTGACCTGGCCACCTCTCCTGTTCCACGCCATCTGTTCTGGAGAGTCACAGGAGGGGCACCCTGGCTTTTTGCCTGGGCACTGGTCTGTGGGTCACCGTGGCTGGAGAAGCCAGCAGGAGGCTATCCTGAGACTCTTCTCTCAGGAGTCTGGGTTCGGGGCATTGTGGAAGAGAATTGTGGGGAAAGCTGGGGTCTTCTCTGCCCCCGGCGGCCCCCTGGGTGAGCCCCGCTCAGCAGATGCTGCTGCTGGCCGCAGGCTGTTGGGGTGACCCTGGACCAGTCACGCCCTCCTCTGCTTCTGCAGTCCTCCCCCCTCACGTCGTTTGTGAGTTCAACCACGTGTGCGCCAGCGCCTTCATCCGGCTGCTGCTGGAGAAGCAGAAGTGGCACGAGGTCCTGCTGCTGCTCACCGGCAAGGCCAACGACGAGTCGTCTGTGGCCGACGGCCTCATTAAGAACTGCAACTTCTCCGACCTGGACATCCGCACTGTGATCCAGCACCTCAGCCACTGGGACCGGCGCCGCATTTACCTCCTGGGCTGTCTGATCGACTGTGGTGGTGAGTGGCGGCGGGAGTGGGCTGGCGTGGGCTGGCCCCTTCCCCTCCCGCCCCTTGTCCAGCCAGCTGGGGCCCCTTCCCCTCCTACTCCCTGCCCAGTCTGCCAGCGGGGGCCCCTTCCCCTCCCTCCCCCTGCCCTGCCAGCGGGGGCCCCTTCCCCTCCCTCCCCCTGCCCTGCCAGCGGGGGCCCCTTCCCCTCCCCCTCCCCTCCCAGCTGTGGCCCTTTCCTTCCCCACATGCAGGGAGGAGGAGGAGGATGGAGGACCTTGAGGGACAGAGCCTACAGGCTTGCTTCTACAGTGTCCCACCTCAAGCCCCCAGCCCTTTTCCTTCTCTGCTGCCTGGTTCTTGGCTGTATCCTGTGGGTTGGGGGCCCAGGGCTTCAGCAGCAGCGCCTCCATCCCCCCAAGGGGTCAACAATTCAGGCTCCTCTGTTCTCCAGCCCCTACAGAGGGGCTGAACAGGAACCAAGACCATGAAAGACCACTCACGATGTGCTTGAAAAGTGGGGATTATCAGCTGGCCTTCCTGTTGTTGACCAAGGGCGCGGACCCCCGGGGCATGACCCTCACAGAAGGGGACATGCCTCTCCACGTGGCGCTGTTCATTTACTTGGATAAGCGAGGTATGGCGGCTCCTCCTGGAGGGCGCGGGCTGTGCGGCGCAGAAGCAGCCTTTACCCTTCTCCTTTGTCCATGGATTGACTGGCAAGTGTAGAGCAGGGTGGGGCGCTTTCCTTGGGCCTTCAGAACACAGGGGAGGCTTTCGGCCTTGCCCTGAGAGGCCGTCCTCAGACAAGTCATCTTCCCGTTCCCCGTCCTGTCCCCCGGCCCCACAGTGAGCAGGGCTCAGTCACCGAAGGTTGTCCTCAGACAAGTCAGCTTCCTGTTCCCCGGCCCGTCCCCCGGCCTGTCCCCCAGCCCCCTAGTGAGCAGGGCTCAGGCACCGAAGGCTGTCCTCAGACGAGTCATCTTCCCGTCCCCTGTCCCGTCCCCTGGCCCCCCAGTGAGCAGGGCTTGGTCACCGAAAGCCATCCTTAGACGAGTCATCTTCCCGTCCCCCGTCCCCCCATCCCCCGTCCCGTCCCCCAGTCCCCCAGCGAGCAGGGCTTGGTCTCGGGGGGCCAGCAGCGAGGGGCCCCAGAGAGGCCTCCCTTGCTTGGCCCCGGCCCCCAGACTCATGTGGCTCTTGCCTGTTCTCGCCCGCAGCGGACATTGGCTTCACTTTCCTGAGTCACCTGCTGGACCTGTACAGCTCCAGCCCGTCAGATTTCTCCTTCCTGAACCCCAACGCGCAGGACGCCAACGGGAACACGGTGATGCACGTCATCTTCCAGAAGGGGATGCTGAGGCGCGTCAGGAAGGTGATGGACTTGCTGGCCGGCTTTGACATCGACTTCACCCTCAAGAACAAGGAGGGCAAAGACGTCCGGCACCGCGTCAAGAAGAACGACTCTCTGCTGCTGACCTGGAAGAAGGCCGTGATGGAGAACCGCAAGAAGGTCCGGCCGGACTCGATCTCCTCGCACCCTCCACGCCTCCTCAAGACGCCGCCCGCCAGCCCCACGCAGCAGCGGAAGAACGCAGCCCCGTCCGCCCCGCGGCTCGCGCCGCCGGGGAACACGTCCCCGGGGGCTCCGCGGGGCGAGGGGCGGGCCCCCGACGGCCGGGCCAAGGGCGGGGCTCCAGGCGCCGGGCGGCCGGGAGCCGAGGGCGGCAAGCCCTTCGCTCTGCGGGACAGTCTGGTGCAGGCCATCCTCGCCCTGATCCAGCAGATGGAGCTGGGCCCCCTGGGCCCCGAGGACGCGCCTCTGTCCGCCAAGCCCACCCCGACGGCGGCCACGGGTGAAGGGAGCCGCGAGGACCGCGTGGCGCCGGAAGACAGCGGGAGCGAGACGCCCGGCGAGGAACCTCCTCCCCTGCCCAAGCCGGAAGCCGGGGACGCCCGGCCCCCGCCACGGCCGGAGCCCCCGCCACCCCCAGCGGACGGGGAGGAGGAGCGGCGGGGCGGGGGCGCGGAGGAGGAGGTGGATGCCCCCGCGCAGCCGCCAGAGGGCTACCTGCCGGACTTTGACAACATGACCTGGGAGATCGAGTGCACGTCGGAGATGCTGAAGAAGCTGGCGAGCAAGGCCGTGACGCGGGTGCTCAAGAAGAAGATCGTGCTGGCCATCCAGCACCTGGGCAACGGCGAGTGGACGCAGGGCCTGCAGAAGCGGCTGCGGCACCTGCACGGCGACATCCAGCTCTACGAGGCCAAGCTGGACAAGGGGGCCCGCATGCTCTGGGAGCTGGCCATCGACTTCTCGCCGCGCTGCAGTGAGAACCCCGAGAAGATCATCGCCACGGCGCAGGCCGCGCACCCCCTGGAGAAGTCGGGCGGCGTCTACACGGAAATCATCCGCATCTGGGACGTGGTGCTGGACCACTGCAAGCTGAACGACGCCATCAGGGCTGTCTGCGCGGCCTACAACCGCGGCCTGTCCTGCATCCTGCGCAAGAAGCTGAAGGGCATCCACACGGGCCGGCTCTCCTCGGGCCTCAAGGTCCAGAAGCGCATCCCGCGCTGCTACGTGGAGGACAAGGACGCGGCGGACGGCGGGGGCCGCGAGCGCACGGTGCCCGAGTACTTCCCGCCTGCCAGCGCCGTGGCCACCGAGTACAACATCATGAAGTTCCACAGCTTCAGCACCAGCATGGCGCTCAACATCATCAGTGACTCCGCGGCACCTGCCGAGTACCCCTTCCGGGTGGGCGAGCTGGAGTACGCCGTCATCAACCTCAATCCGCGGCCCCCGGAGCCTATCATCCTCATCGGCCGCAGCGGCACCGGCAAGACCACGTGCTGCCTCTACCGCCTCTGGAAGCGGTTCCACTCCTACTGGGACAGGGCGGACCGGGCGGGCGGCCCGCTGCTGGCCAGGCACGTGTGGCGGCAGCGGGCGGGCCAGGCGGCCGAGGAGGAGGAGGAGGCGGCGGCGGCGGAGGCCGCCGGGGATGCCGATGCCGACGAGGACGAGGACGAGGAGGACGGGGGGCCCCCGGAGCCCGAGACCGCGGACGGTGTCGATGAGGACCCCGAGGACGAGTCGGCGTCCGGCGGCCCCGACCCCGACCCGGCCGAGCCCGCGGATGAGGCGGCCGAGCCCGCGCGGGCCGTGCCGCTGGAGCACCTGCGGCAGGTCTTCGTCACCAAGAACCACGTCCTGTGCCAGGAGGTGCAGAGGAACTTTGTGGAGCTGACCAGGTCCAGCAAGGCCACCAGCCACTTCCGGCCGCTGGAGCCCACTGTCCACCGACTGCAGGACGTCAGGGATGAAAGCTTCCCGCTGTTCGTGACCTCGCGGCAGCTGTTGCTGCTGCTGGACGCCTCCCTGCCCAACCCCTTCTTCCTGCGGAACGAGGATGGCAGCCTGAAGCGCAACATCCTGGGCTGGTCGGCGCACGAGGAGGCCGCCATCCCCAACTGGCAGGAGGAGGACGAGGCCGGCGATGGCGACGGCGACTACGGCGAGGAGGACAAGGCCTCGGAGGCGTGCGGTGGCGAGACCGACCCCCGCGTCTTCGTCACCTACGAGGTCTTCGCCAACGAGATGTGGTCCAAGATGGTGAAGGGCAAGACGCCGTACAACCCGGCGCTGGTGTGGAAGGAGATCAAGTCCTTCCTAAAGGGCTCCTTCGAGGCGCTGAGCTGCCCGCAGGGCAGGCTGACCGAGGAGGCCTACCAGAAGCTGGGCCGCAAGCGCTCGCCCAACTTCAAGGAAGACCGCGGCGAGATCTACGCGCTCTTCTGCCTCTACCAGCGCATCCGCTCGCAGCAGGGCTATTTCGACGAGGAGGATGTCCTCTACAACCTGTCTCAGCGTCTCTCCAAGCTGCGCGTGCTCCCCTGGTCCATCCACGAGCTCTACGGCGACGAGATCCAGGACTTCACACAGGCCGAGCTGACCCTGCTGATGCTCTGCATCAACGACCCCAACGCCATGTTCCTCACGGGCGACACGGCGCAGAGCATCATGAAAGGCGTGGCCTTCCGCTTCAGCGACCTGCGCTCGCTCTTCCACTACGCCAGCAAGAGCTGTGTGGACCAGAAGCGCTGCCCCGTGCGCAAGCCCAAGCGCATCTACCAGCTCTACCAGAACTACCGCTCCCACTCAGGTGCGAGGGCGCGGGCGCGTGGGCCCGCGCGCACTGACGCAGTCACACGCACACCCAGACACGCCCGGGGAGATGCGCGCACGTGTATTTTCACATGCACGGTCACGCGCGCACTGACGC